GAAGTAAACCTAACTTATGGTTTTTGGGGACAGTCATATTTTTAAGATGAATTGCCCATCAAAACTCAAAAAATTGCGACATGGCTCAATGGCCTCAGAAAGTCTTTGCTTAGGGTTTTGATTTATTTTGACAATTTCCTAAGTTGAAGTACCCAAACAACTATGGAAAAGAGCATCTATTCTATTAATGACCCATTACTTCCAACCTGAGGTGATACAATATATGACTTACTATCAAACTTCCAATATTTCAGTAAATGCTATCGGCGAAATCCTAAATCGCAAAACATCTGTGGCCCAAATCATGTCAAAGACCGTTGAGGGCCTGAATCATGCGTACGAACTGCGCGATTCATGCCCAGAAGATCTCATTTTCGATCTATTCAAAATGCCAAATAAAGATGAAGCCAGTATCAGCAAACTGATCAAGGTAATTCTTCTTCTTTTTCAAATAAATTTGAATTCCGATGACAATTTTCAGGTGTTAAAATCATTTGGTCTGCGAGAATCTGATCCTCGACTACGGCATATGAATGAAAAAATGAAAAGCTTTGAGGAAGAGGATGACGATGCCAGAAATTTCCTTCTTACTAGGGACAAGTTCAAAGAGTAGGTATTTTATGTGAGTTATGTAGTTGGAGACCGCTTGAAGAGGTAGCCTTGAGTGATCCTTGTTGGCTAAGAACCTACGTCACTGTTACTCTCCGTTTGCGCTGATATCTGGCACAAACCATGCGACTAAACACATTACGGCTCGTACCAGTTTACCGCGCAAGCAGGGATCTGAAACTCATGTGAAACTTCTACTTAGATGATAGCAGATAAAATTGAATGATACATTTTTTTTCGCTTGAGAAATACAGACAAGAATTTTTTTTTCAAGTCCAGTGTACACATCTCACTTTGCTCATTTTTTCTTGCATTATTACACTAAAACGTCTTTTTTCAGATGCATCCATCCATCAGTACAACTTATTTCGCAAGCACTCCGCAACCATTTGATAATTCCTAGTTGGGGAGAGTTTTGCGGGCAAATCAAATCAATCTATGAAGAGGTAAGAATATTGCTAAAAGCTCAACTTGTTCCACTGACCTTATTCGTTTAGTGCAAGTCGATCAAGGAGGGAAATGTAGCCACTTACATTCCACAACTTGCTCGACAGAATCCGGATATCTGGGGTTTGTCCATCTGCACTATAGATGGTCAAAGGGTTTCATTCGGTGACGCTAAAGTGCCTTTCTGCTTCCAAAGCGTTTCAAAGGTGATTTCTCAGAGTAACTCATTTTTAATAAGTTTAAAAGCGAAACTTGCAGGCCTTTAACTACGCTATAGTTTCGTCAGACTTAGGAGCCGACTTTGTGCATTCATATGTGGGCCATGAGCCAAGCGGGAGACTGTTTAACGAGATCTGCTTGGACCAAAATGGTAAGCATTAGATTCTTATTTCGCATGAATCTTATTTTCGTCTTATCTTGATTTTTGACATTTTCCAGGGAAACCTCACAATCCGTTGATTAACGCTGGGGCCATAATCGTAACTTCTCTAATCCGCAATCACTTGACCATGGCTGATCGATTTGATTTTGTTCTCAATGAGTATAAAAAATTAGCTGGTGGAGAACACGTTGGATTCAATAATGCCACGTAAGTCATCTAAGGTTTCATTAGGAACTAGATTAGTTTAGAAAGTAAAAGTCTTTATAACAAGTTGACTCAAAGGTAGAGTCCAGATAAAATCAAGCCCCAGATTTAGTACCTAACCTAAATGTAGGGCACCAAAAGAGGGGCATCTAAGTTATAGAGTCATTTATAGAGGGGCTATCAAGCCACGCCCACTCTATAAAGCTCCGCCTATTCAAGCACTGAAAGTGTCTACGCCTTCAGAATAAGGTTCCCAATAATCGGATTCTTGGGGGTTTTGCACAACACTGCCTAACTATAATCAGGGCCACAAAAAGGCACAGAAAGGCAAAAACATAGGGCGAAATTTGGGGTAAACATTCTTTACACGAGTGGAAATAAAATCTGAGTCGAAGACAAATTGAATAGCTGTGAAATTGAAGAAAGAAATATATAGCAACGAGAAATTTCTAGATTCCTTTCTGAACGAGACACTGCTGATCGAAACTATGCTCTATCTTATTACATGAAGGAGAACAAATGTTTCCCTCCGGGAACACAGGTAAAATTCGATGTTAGTTTGGATTTTCAATGCCCACAGATATCTGTCCGCTTATAAGCTTCTAACGAGAACGAAATGAGTTGAAAAATAATTTACAGGGTCTTCGAGAGGAATTGGATCTGTACTT